AAGCAGAGAAAAATAAGGATAAGAATTACAATGTAACTGGTCGTAACTGACAACTGGATGCAAACCAGGTCAGCTGAAGAAAAACAACCGAATTCATCACTACTTTTTTTTACAGATTCTTATGAGCTACTTACAAACTGAGAAAAACTTGACATCTCGCATATGTATAAAAAATGTTTGCATGCTGAAACCAACTTGAAGAAGCTATATTGATCATAGGAGAGGAGTAAGACTGGTACACTGCAATTAAACAACACAATAGCAGACTGGTGGATAGAAGGAGGCTTTTAATAATAATTCCTCGTTGTAAGGCGATCAAGTGAATTGTTGAGCAGTACGAAATGAAAAGTGAAGATGAATGAGATGAATAATTTCTTTAAAATAGGAAATTGATGTCATAGGTAACGTTGGCATCAGTCTTCGGTGACTGATCTCTAACATTTACTCATGAAATTATAGCTGGAAAGTGTACACTATTAAACGGCACTCACACAGAAATCTAGTGATTTGGCAGAAAAAATGCCATATTGTCCTGTCACTAACCTTAGTTTTTTGACTGAACCAGTTCTGGTTAATTCAGAATCACGATATCTTGATGTGCCTACACCTCGTGGACACCTTGGTCGACCTAGTTTCACAGCTTTAATGAATAACACAGCTTCACTGCTCAAAGCTGTACATGTAATCATAACAGGTTTGACTGGTTGGTCTCACCTAATAACAAAATATTACTGAAGATGCCTCCGTTTGAACACTGTTCACCCTAACGTAAGCGTGGGACTTGGAAACTGTGGTTGATTTAGCACACAATAGTTGAGTACTATTTGGTACATCAAATAAACTCATTTGTGTGATTGCTCTGAGTACTCTATCATGTACCCTATTATTAGTGACAAATACAAGCACCTCAGTGTGAAAACAACTTCTTACAACACTGCTCTTTGTCTGTCTTTAAATGCACTAAAGCAGATGTGCTTAGAAGTTCCACAGTAATCCAAACAAATTAATTCGCTTTATGACTGTTTATACCAATTGTATCAACCAAGGAAGCGTGACGAAGCTAAGTGCAGTGTCTCTGTCTTTCAGGATAAATTTATTCTAGTGACTGGTAATTTCTCCTGGATTATAACTTCTAGTGGAAGGATCAACACATTTTTGTAAGCATTTTGTCTGAATTATAAAAACCGTTATCGCCTGCAACTTTATACTTGCTCTATTCTTCAGTATGCCTGGACTGGGTACCATAGATTGTAAGATTGGTCACTTTTTGCCGGTTTTCTATAGGTGAAATAACACCGCTTAAAAAAAAAAATACTAATTATAATCAATTACTGGTACTTGTAATTTTTGGTTATCACACAGAAATGAATCGATCAACTTCTGTCGGCAAATGGGCTCTCGTATACGGATGCCTTTGTATTCTCTTAAGATTCATTATATTACAATTTGCTTGCTGGTGGCTAGCAGTGGAATGCATGTACATGCAAGCTCACAAGGCTGTCAAGACAAGCTACTGAATAAGTTGCAGAGAGAATCCTATCGCTCACTTACGTTCTAAATTTAGCGCTGATGATGTTGTCTAAAGTGACAACGAAAGAGCCACGATTAAACAGTCTAGGTCAGAGAACATACCCCCATAAAAAAATCCACTTATATTTGAGTGCTTCTAGTGATCACAATGTTTTTATTTTACGCAAAGGAATACTTATCCGCACATTTCCATCTCATTCGATAGTACAATTCAGTGTATTTTGGAAAGTGGTTTGAAAAGTGGAACAAAGTAGAAGACACTGTTAGCTGATTTATATTTGTTGGTTTGATGACTGAGGCAATTGACAGGAAGCCCTTCACCTGGGTTTCGTACTTGTTGGCACTCGTCAGCAAGGTGGCTCCTCAATTCTGACGGAACTGATGTTGCCTACGAGATTCAAACCAACCAACTAACATCTACCAAAGCACACCGTAATGGGAAGTCACCTATCTTGGTAGTCACAATGCAAAATATCTGATGGAAGTCGGTCAGCGACCAATTAATGATCATATTTACATTCTAAAGACGGTTGAGACATCAAAATATGTGCCAAATTGTAACCGACGTTGATATGAAGACGTATCTAAAGTGTTTAATAACATGTCTGTAATCCAGTTTTCCGAATTGTCGTTGAATTGTAATAACTTTTATGCACAGTTCAGAGCACAAACTGATAGAAGAAAGAAGCAAGAATTCAGTAGGCTTACATAAACTAGCAGTTCTGATTGGATGTATGTGTTATGAAAGTTACAGGTTTGATGAATGATTATTATTCTTGAACAGTATAAGGACGTCCACCAATTACTGCAATACACTAAGCTGAGTGACTCAGGAAGAAAACAAGTAAACTATGAAAGAATGGTGATTCATGTGTGCTAAGAAACAAAGAATACTAATAGGTCACTTCATGTGTAAACAGTTTTGAATTTTCCTTTCCGTTGTTTGTATATATATATATATATATATATATATATATATATATATATATATATATATAATGATTCACTGGAAGAGGTTTGATAAAATGACACAAATAAAAAGTCATAATTCAATGATAAATGATAAACGTCACCTTTGTACATTAATCGGTGTTCTGTCATTTCTCGGTCATTTTTCAGGCATAAAAAGGTGTTAGCTATGAAAAGATTTCTTCATGTCTATTTTGAACAATGTTACCTGTCACCAGATGGTTGAAGGCGTGTATACACATGGCCGGGCTTCTAGACTCTCCAAATGAATTAGTCACGATAGGTTCACGTTTGAGTGTGAATAGATCCTCAGATTATCAGTTGATGAACAGTCGGTTATTGTGTAGTTGTTACATTGAAGGCAGACATTTTAAATACCTTCATAGTATGATATATATTTTAGATACTTGGTAATTATACTTGTTTCACTATTTATCAGAAACAGTATTTTGTTCATAGACAATTTTTGTCGGTATTCGATGAGGTGATATTGTGACATCCTCCATCTGTGTGCATTACTTGCTGACACAGGGTCTTCTGAACGTGTCCAGCAGAAATCTGAGTACGTTTGACATGTGTCTGGAACCCGTCAAATGTAAGATGATGCTCCACGACTGGTCTGCTACAAGTACTCTCAGTTTATTGATAGGAGTGAAGTGGCGGAATATGTCAGCCAGTCCACTAACTTGGAAGTTGCAACGGCCCGAACAGGATGGTTGCTGACAAAATGTCAGTCTGGATACAGAAGGCGTATTTAGCATTTGCCAATTCGCGTCACCTGTGGCACCTACTGGTGAGATATCCGACCATCAATCAAAGGATGAGTATACTATGCTGTCGTTCGTTCCTTCCTCTTACATGACTGAGACTTGCCCGTTAAGGTAGAAGACATGAAGCCATTACAGGATTGTGATCACAGGTGTCTTTGTAGCATTGCTTGCGTTTGGTAGAATCACCATGTGAGCAGTGTTGGGGTCAGGCGAGGAATAATAGACAAGATAAGAAAGTCAGTTGATGAGGTTATGAACCTTAGTCGACTGAGATGGCTTGGACATGTACTGCGCATACTCAGCCACCGTCTATGTCAACGCCTTATGCTAGGAGAAGTTGGATTAGGTTGGAAGAGAGTTCAGGGTGGCTACATCAAAACTTGGTACCAACCAATGAAGTCACTTACTGTTAGTCTGGGCCGTGTGGGGAGATGTAGGCTGCTTCGCTGGGCTCCTCGAGTAGATTAGGAATCAGCTACTCAGGACTCTCAGTGATAGTGGCTGAAAATCGGTTTCAGCAATGCACATGTATTTACTTTTGGACGTCTTCTAAAGCCTGGGTATTTAAACTAATAATTCTGTCTCACAACTGTGTCTACTTTGGTATGGTTTTTTCTATTCACTTGTTCTTTGTATTCTGCTGTGAAGTGTGGCAACTTGAACCAATGCACTTGTGTGGGAGGTTCTACATTGATTTCGTCTGTCTGTCTTTCTATTACTTACTTTCTGATCGGTCTAAATGTGTTCCATTAATTTAAATTTCAATGTATTGTGGATGAAAGGAAATCGACAGAGTTTAATACTTTTCGCTCCTCTTGATTTGAAATTCGTTCTTGTAGCTGATCTCGGTGATACATTTTGTACATTTCAGGTGTATCGACTTAGACGGAAATTTCTCCTCACAATATCGAATTTTAGTTCTGAAAAGAAGTGCAAGTGAATTTGTGTGGTACACACTGCAGAAACAATTAAATTCCGGATGCAGCTAATAGTGACAAGATTGAACTGACGGGACACTAAAAAGAAATATGTCCTACTATTTAACTTGACTACTGTGTTTTTCGCTTAAATGAAATAAGGCTAAATTCTGTACAAAGATACTGTGATGACCAAATTTTATGTCTGAGGAGGATCCGGTGTAGATGTTAGTTGGATGAAGGCAGTCGACAAAAAGCTTTAGACCTAAGTTTTATGCATTTTGGCGCTCATCAGCAAGGCGTATCTGTAATCTTAACGGAAGTGATATCCCGCCTGATATTCGAACTCAAGTCTCAAATGGGATCGCTTAATAATGTACCACGTATATATATGTAGATTTCCGACAAAATTTGAAATGGTCAGCTCTTTATTTGAAGAAAAGAGTTAAGCAAATAATCTAAGCTTAATTATATTGAATAATAAGATTATTTCGAATATTTTTGTAAATTTCACTGTCGATGCAAAGAAATACTACAGTTTTCATACCATCTCTTAATATCAACACTTTCAGTGGGGACAGTGATTGTAAAGTAATATTTTTGTGTTAGGGTTTCCTTTTCTACACCGCTTCTTCATGTTGTACGTTTCAGTCATCCTGTATTTTTAATTTCTTCTTTTTATTGATTACTCAATAGGGGAGAGTTATTTGCGTTTGAATCCCGGTTAGAAAAAACAGCTAATCAAAACTTGTCACTTGCCTTCCATTTGGCGACAGCGGAATTCGCTGCGCCTAGACTATTGGAACCAGTTGATATGCGTCCAGAGAATGTGGATGCGCGATCAACTGCTGTCTACCTGTTAGAATTACGCAAGGCGGTCGAGCGCGATAGAAAACGTCGTTCCAGAGGCATTCTAGAAATACAAACATCCTCCATGGTAAGTTGTGTTGTCTTTTGTAAACCTCCTCTGCTGAAATACTAAACAATCACAGTCTATTTTCTTTCCTCTGTGGTATCAAATATTAGAGAAAAATGTAGCAAGTTATTTCTTAATCTTCCACTACTCCATATAGGATATCTCTTTAGTAGGGATAAACTGTGCGACTGAGCTCCCAGTGCTCTGAATCAGTATTATCATATGCTCAGCGCTGCTGTTTCACCCTCAGGTTAAGAGGTGTACTCGCTGACACGTTTTCTTTTACACATCTCTCAAGAAGATTTGTCAGTGTTTGTGTCGTATGTTGATGTATAAAAAGTTACACGGATCTATCACTAGGTCTTCTGTCTTGATAAGTAATGTAAATCAACGTCTGTCCACTAGGAAATGCAGAGTTATTGTTCAGTTTAGAGATCTGACTTTGGTGTGTTTGGTTGCCAGTTGTTTAGAGTCAGTCAATACGAAATCCTGAAGCCAGCCTTTATGCTGGCAGATATTCGTTAAAAAGATTTAACTCTCAAACGGAATGACCAATTAGTAAATGATTTACAATAGGTTTTCCGCTAGGAACCATTAAGTCAAGGTTACTAGGAGTGATCTCTGACGTGAAAGTATCATGAACTAACAAAATATACTATTAGTGGACAACTTGAGTAGTTATAAACCCATAAGACTGATATATAGATTTTCGGTAGCCAGATATCAGAGGGACCTAAGCACCGGACTGTTAACGCCACAGTTAGGAAGTCGAAAAACTACTCAGGTGTAATAAATGTCGACGTAGAACCTGGAGTTTGCAAATCATCTGTAGGTTGCTCTGACCAGTTTGGCTGAGTGAGTTGAATATATACGGGTAAACCACTGACAAGATTGGTATCAAACAAGCGAAACTGCCATCCCCTGATTAGATCACGACTTTGCTGGCGAAATCTGCAGGTCAGACTGTCTGGTTTCTGACTACTCACAAGTTGTTTAGTAGTATATTTCGTTCGGTCTATCTTTTGACGACAATAAAGACAGTCATGTTAGTTGAAACCTGTTAGCTATTATGAAGAGTCCTTAGGATGACATAACACTGGTCACTACCTGTTTCGCCTCTAGAATTTGCCAAACTATCTCCGTACACCAATTAATGAAATAAGTTTCAGTAGAAAAATGTTTTCAAAGCTGAATAAATATCTTCATGATGAAACTGAATTCGTCAAACTTTGATCCAGAAGCACCTATTGATCGTCTGAAAACGTCCAACAGGGAGCATAAGTTACTGTTGTTTTGTTAATTGTATACAGTGTACAAAAAGTGGCATGACGCCTAGTAAGAACATCATTGGTAGAGACGATACTGAGTGATTGTGATAAATAGAAAGTCATGTAACGGCACTAATCCCTGTAGGCTTCACTACTTTTCACTTCTGAGGAGCATCAGAGGGTTACCGGGGGATTGTGAAATCAATAACCTTAGACACCGAATACCAGCCTTCCTTCCATTAATGATAATCTGACAAATGGCAGATCAGAGTAGTTGCTGTTTATTCTATCGAGTTATTACGGCTTCATCATCTCTCTATTTTCATTTCGAATTGGCCAAACAATCAATAAGTGAAGAATTCAATCCTAAACGTTATATTTTTACCTACTTAATAAGCACTTCTAAATTGCGGAACAGATCAGCAGGAAATTTTTATTAGGCAGTATGTGATTAAAAGTGACTCAGTTAACAGCTATGCAGAAAGATGATAAGATAGACGCTGAAGATATTAATTACTATTAATCCTTTGGGATAGCAGAAGAACTTTGTAAACGGGAGCTGTCAGTATCATTGAATACTTCAGACACCCATATCAAGTTCAACTGATTAAACGGAAATGAAAAGAGATGAGGGGAACAGTATGACTAAGTGAAAGGAGATGGTGCTTTTGAGGCAGAATGCAAGTAAGTATTCCCTCTTTTATCTTTTTTGATATATGTTCTTCCCATAGGGAATTTAATGTGAGCAGGCGACTAAAGTTTGAAGTGTTAACTACTAAATGACGACATCTTTGAATTAGAGTTCATTAACTGTCTCACTGTAACGATGACCAGTAGGGTGTTTATGCTGTCTGAGTAATTTTAAAAATTAAATTAAACTCTAACCATTAGCCAAATTCCACCTGCATTCGAAGGTTTTAGCCAGTTGTGTTTTCATCCTTTCACTCTAATATGACACCTGTTTAGGCCATGACGTCAGCGATTAAAGTGGAGTCAATTAACTGCCACCGCTAGCCTCACCATACAGCAATGAGCTTTATGCATAAAAACCCACTTATTAGGAATAACACATACAGGCGATTTATGTTAAGAAGACTAGTCACTTTTTGATTGGCTTCATACTCAAAATTATTTACCCTTCACGGTAACGGGAATAATAAGGTCTTTCGTGATTCGGCTGCCTGGAATATTCTTTGCTGGCACAAAATAATCCATGTCGAATCGAAACGCACTCAGCCTCCTTGTGCACGTTAATGCAGTGTGCAAGCAACCTATTTTTTGAGGGCTAATAACACCACCTGGTTGCTCAGACTTCGATGGGTTGAGCAGGATCTGCACCCATTACCCATTAGTTGAAAGTCGACTGTCTAAGCCAGCAAGTCAGGGAGGAGGAGGAATAGCTTAGATGGTGACGGCATTCTAACTAATGGTCGTCAAATTGTCAGTTCAAAGCTCGGAAATCTGACCTGTGAAAACGTGGTTTCAGTTTAATCTCAACCACAGAGTGTTGAACTGACTTTTCTGTGACTAGGGAACGCAGCTGTAAATACTTCAGCAAACCACTTTCCGAAGAAAGTCTTTTCGTTTCTGTCAAAATTAAAGTGAATTAGACAAAGCTAACTGAAGCCTGGCTAGTCAATAAATCTCCTAGTCTATTAAACAGATTGTTGAGTGGACATATAACTAGAAAGACATTTCACTTCGACGATGTTTTTCATTACTTTGACAGTCAATAGTCCATTTGAATTAATCTTCTGTTTAGATTCAAGGCCAATCAGACGAAGAGCCGAATGTTATTGTTGAAAGTCGGTCTTCGCCAACATCAACAAGTAGTACTTCAGAACTAACCTGGCTTGATGATGAAATTGACGACGATTCCGATGATGAAGACGGTAATGTCAGTCATCTACCTGATCCGGATCATTTTACTATAGTAATCGAAACTACACTGGCATGGCTATTAGCTATGGAAGAACAATTCGGACAGAAAGATTTACAAGAGGAGTCACGTGGTTTCGCTGGTTATTCGTTGAATAAAACTGATCATTTGCAGTCAGTACATAATGAAGAGGATAAGACCTTTATTGCACGTCTTCAAAGAGCGAATTCAACCGAGACAAAACTGATGCATGCTGGAATTTTGAAAAATATTGATGAAGCTAGGGATAGATTCGAAACACATGAGGTAAGAAGAAGCTTTTTTGTATTGATTTATGCATAAGTGTTATCCAATGTTTGTTTAAGCACTTGGATGTCTGTGGTTCCCCCTGTTTGCCAGAAGTGAAACTTGCTTGTTGGTATGTTTACAAATTTGAGGTCGACTTTCATTGTGAACTGCGAAATGGGTGATGTATCGGTTTTCCACTCTGGTCACTGACTTATTACTAATGTTTGACATGACCACCTTCGTAGATTGGTCTTCATTCCCGCGTTCTTTATCAAACAGACTATTGCTGAAGTCAATTTGGTGGCTATCAGTCGAGCCGGTGCTCTTGATCTCAATTAGGGCTCGTCAGCTGGGTTGTTTATACTGAAAATCAAACCCAGTACTTATAGCTTTGAACGCCAAAGAGTTATCTATTAGGCCTCTGGGGTACAAAAGCCAGTAATTGGGCAGCAGGTATCAGTTGTTTATTGATATTTGTTGAGTCATCATTTCAACGTCAGATCATCAATATTTCCACCCATCGCATTTCTAGTTCATCTATGGGTCCTTGTAGTTCTAAACTCCGAAATTTAAGTAAGGTTGGTTTTGGATGAGTATCTCACTACTTAAACGAATGCCAAGTTAATAAAAGGAAAGTATGAAGTTTCCCCTGGAATTTTTGAACTTTTCTGCAATGTCAGTCAAGGATAGGGACGTTAAAAGTATCCCAAACCAGAGACTGAGTATCTACCTGTTAGGTGTTTAACAACTGTTCAGACTGAATAAACTTCAGAATTTCTTTTGCATTTCACACGCATGTGACTATCTTCATTCAGGAGATGATTTACTATTCACAGTTCCCTAAACATAAGAAAAGGAGCGAAAACAGGTGCTGAAGGACATGAAGCATCACTAAATTTGATCAACGCATCCTTCGGTTCTAAACTGAGACTGAACTTTGATCAAAGATACTGACTGAAGCGAGGGGAAAGATGTGTGCTCTTTTTCTGACAGGTGTTGAATATTAGGGAAGGGGACTACTTCCATCTGAAATACAGTTAATCATTTATCCCACAATGACGAAAATTAGACATGGATTAGCTAAAAGTAAAGTGAATAAGATTCACTGATAACTGTAACTTATCATTCATCTACTCCGCTATCTTCAGTGACACCGACTTCAAACTGCTGAATAAGATGAAGAAAAGTTAGTCAAAATATTGATGACTGTTTGAAAGTTAAACAGATGGACAGATTGCTACTCATTCAACATCGATATACTGGTTAACAGCTAAACAGTTTGAATTGTTAACTACGTTTTTTTAAAGCTAAATCTGATATTTTTCTGTTGAAACAAGGATTGCCTGTTCTTATCTGTTGAGAATTAGTGGGTAGGATACCTCATCTAACCTAAGTTTCATGCACCTTTGAACGAAAAGCATCATCATTCACTAAACTGGTGTTCGCTTGATGTCTGAACTCTGAAGCACTCTCTATTGAAGTCAGAAATACACTCGTGAGCCAATCACCAGCACAGCTGACTCCATAGAGAGCTGATTAAACGAGAATAATTGTTTTAGTTGTCAAGTTTTAGGTGTTCAGTGCTAACCACGAAACCATGTCGACCAAATTTGAAATATGGTCACTAACTCGAGTAATTCGGCTCACTGATGCATTAAACATAGGCCCCCCAGTGATATCATTATGAAACAGTATCAAAATTTTGGATTAAAGCATTTGTGCGTGGATTTTTCAACCTATTTTATCAACTTTTGAGTGGTTTATGATTTTAAATGGTCTTGCTTCCACACTAAAATTTTTTCTCTTTTCAAAAATGATAAAACAAAATTAGGATTTAACAGCACATTTATCACGTCGCCAAATGGCTGTTGGTCGTTGTCTTCGTCTTGGCAATCGTTTGATAAAAACTCATGAAAATCTGGACAATGTTCTGAAAAATAGTGGAAATGATGAACAGCTTAACTCTGATGATACCGATAATGATGAGGAAAGACGAAGGCAGCTACAAGTCAAACAGAAGCTACGTGAATTAGATCCTGTTGTAATTCAACGGCAAACTGTTCTTCTGGCAACGCGATGGAATAATCTGTGTCGTTTAAACTCTACAATAGGTAAACGTGTAACAGCCTCTCTGTTAAGACGACAAACTATGCTTTTGAGCGCCATACGTATACAACTCGACAAGTTGGAGAATGAACAGTGAGTTCGATTTTTTCTTACATAATATTGTACCACTTTTGATTTTGCCTTACTTATTATTGATGAACTTTCTTATATGAGCAGGCCTATTTGGGACTATATTTGAACATATCTTGTGGGGGTCTTCAAATGTTAAAAGAGGAGAATTAGGCAGCAACTGGATGTTAACAAAAAAAGAGTTAGTGGTCATATGTTGATATAATAATCGTAGGATTCAGAGTAGTAAGATTTACAGACGTGGGTTATTTGCGTTAATGATAGGCGCTAACATTATGGTTATAATTTCTTAACTACCGTAGCTACTATTTACAGTATTCAGTAGTTAAAGATACATTGATACAAATTTGATATGAATATAGCATTTGAAAGAATCCAGGTCCGAATGATTGTGAGCAAAAACCTACCTCACCGTGGCCATCGAGGTGGTTGCCAGTGCTAGAGCACTCCTACTCACCGAGATGGTTTGGGAATCAATAACTTTATGTAACCAGTAGTTCATTATCTTGTATGGCTTGCATTAAGTTTTTATTCGACAGGACAGTTATTGAAGGCGAAACGAGAACCTTTGTTAAGGCAGGGCTTTAATTAGCTGCTGGAAATTCATCAGACAGGGTACATCTTCATGGATCTTCAAAGGCTTGAGGGCTTCTTTGAAATGATACGTTAGGTAGACAGTTATTCTTACTTTTTGAGTTAAGAACTGTGATCAAGACTTGACCGAATAGTATCACAAATATCGTCTCCAGTTAAACAGTCCAGCTCAGAGAACACAGGGCCATCAGAACTATCCTCCTGATCCACAAGTATATCCTCTATCATCTCAGAATGGAAAGTTAACGCTGGATACAAGAAATGTTTGTATATCTCTCAGTTCACACTGATTCTAGCGCTTTCCCACCAGCACAAGTCTTATCAGAACTCTTTTCCGAAAATCACTAGGATTAAAATATCAAAAATGTGTACTCAATTTTCCTGTTCATTTCTTTCTGCCTAATCATATTAGACGTTTTCCTTCATGTATCCAATATTCCATGTTGTACCACAGTGAAAGATGTTAAGAATATAAATTACTGAGTGAAGACCAACATAATTGCGTTTATCGAGTAAAATGTTCTGAATGAGGTGCAGCATGTGTGAGGGAGATCATCTGGCAGATAAATGTACGAAAGTCCCAATAAGACCTTAAAACTTCAGCAGAAATTAGAAAATTAGAAAGCTGACTGGCAATTACATTACAGTAGAAAGAGATGGGACACAGGAATGATTTTGATGAAAATAAGGTTAATAAAGTGGCTCTAGTTGTATCATGGAAGATTAGCTTCCTAGGCCTTAAATAGGCACATATCCCAACAGTTTGAATAGAAGGGACGGAATGCAATTAGCTGACTGCTTTCAACCTATAATTGATAGACTGAAGAATGATTCTGAAATTAATTTTATCACCAGTCTCACCTTCATCATCTGCTGATCAGCAACTGTTCGCAGTATGAATTTGTTTAATGCATCACTATCAGTGTAATTATTATTACTACTGCCATTACTATTACTGTTATCATTACCATGAATGCTCATCTGCACTTTACCTAACGAATAGTACAATGTTATTTTATTGACCTCAAATTCACCCTTACGCACTGACATAAATGAAGTGGATATCTACAACTGAAGCCTAAATAATGCAACACATCACCAGGACACACATATGCCTTATATATCTTGTTGTACATAAACATACAGTTAAGAAAAGATTATGATTTCATTTGCTAATATTTTGTCTCAAGTTCTCTAAAGTAAACCATCTCAGCAGCCACTTGCATTTACGTGCACTACGCAGTGAATCATACCTCTCTTATGAAGGCCAATATTACTTCATGGCTACCCAAATCCTCACTAGATGAAGTGTAGTCTGAACCTATGACTACTGGTCAACAGCTCTACTCATATTTTCTATGGAGGAGGACATTATTAATAGTAACAACAACAAGAACACAAACACACGCTACGCTTGATACCACAATGAACGAATAGTATTGATCTTTTAAAAACAATGGTTAACTAAACAGGAGATTTCGCAGGCTTTTTTGATATCGTCTCTGCACTGAACATTGAAAGACTCCATTTTGTAGCTGTCCAAGAAGAAGGGAGTTTATTAAAAAGGTTATCGATTCATCTTATCTTTTGTTTCTTATGGCCGTCACTGGTAGTTAAATTTTGATTACTTCCCAGAAAAAGCATGGACCAGAATTCCTGGCGAAATACTAGAATTATTCTGATTCAAACCCACTGAAACTTACACAAATATAACCTTTGTTCTTGAGGCTTCTAATTCATGATGGAATTGTTTATAAATTTATGATTTTTGCAAAGAAGGCTAACAGATTGCTTGAAGTGGTATGGTGTTGTGCTGTGTCGCCAGATTCAGTCTTCATTGTATCTGCAGTAACTGACCTTATAGATTAAATATAGGTATTGAAGTTTCTTGTACTCTAAGGATCCTACAGAAAATGCAAAGGGCAGCTTTATTTTTATGGAAATTTTATAAACTACTGAATTCTTCTATAAGTAGGCATAAAATGAAATCTTTTTAAGCACGAATAAACTGACCAACTGTTGATCAGCCTATTTGCACCTATATCAGGAATCATTATTGGTTCACGTTAACATTCCGTATAGGCAAACCAATTTTCTAACTTTTTATTAAAAATTTAGGACTAGTCAGTCAAGTCAGCCGATCGGTCCATCGATTTCTGATGTAAAGCGACAGCTTGAAGAGAATAGGCACTTGGAACAATTAATTGAATCTGGTGAGGCATTGGCTGAACGCCTAGACAACTTCATAACTATAGTTCCTCAGAGAACATCAGATAATGAAGAGACTTATGTGAATGAACGTGGTCTTGAAAATGTGATTTCTGAGTTGGCCACACGTTGGAGTCGGTTAGTTGGTTGGGTGAACACACGTTATGCCTGCCTACAGAATGTTCTATTACATTGGAGACATTTCGAAGAAGAGGCGAGTGTTTTATCTGACTGGTTGGATGAACGTGCAGACGATGTGACTAAAGCGTTGGCCAATATTATCCCCTCGGTGTCAACAAATACAGCCAAAGATTTCATCACCACATCACATTCACGGCACAGTTCACTTGGTAATGAAGTTGACATGTTGAGTGAACAGAAATTTTCTAATTATAAGTGCCTTGAGAGAGCTGGATCCAGTGGCAGTTCTGTTATGCAAACACAGGACAGCATGGAAAGGATTACAATATCGAAAGATAATTTAAATCGTGACAGTTTACAGATGATTTTAAGTCAAAATGATGCTGAAATGGAGGCAATTGACGTAAGTCAGTTTGTATATTGTTTTTATTACTGTAACTCCAGAATATCTACTGGATACTATTTTGTGTCCCTATTAATCCCAGAGCACGTAATATTCCTATTTTCATCTTGGAAAGTTTTCAGGTTGTGCGTTTCCCGCCTCCACTGATATTTACACAAACACTGACTGAACTAGTATGCATTCGAATATCAAGTAAGTCTTACAAGAAGAAGAGTGCCCTTCTAATGACCCCTTCCATCGGTGTCTGATGTTGAGCTGACTTGGCTATATCTTCTTTACGTGTCAGATTCATCTCGCAGTTGGCTGGCAAGAAGCTGAAGTGTTAAAGTAGACTTAATGAGTAACGTCGATGTACTTGCTGTACATTGTCTTATTTTGTGTGAATACCTACTGCAGGGAGTACTTCGAAGTGACTAAATCTAATGAAGGGACGGATAGCTTCTCATAGCGTGATTCATAAGAGGTGAGTAAAATACTTGTAACGGCTTTGAACGACTCGAATGATAATTATAGCATTTCCATGCCATTCCTAATAACGAACGCATTTAACGATACACTGTGACTATAATATCTATTTTCTATAGTAATCAAGTGACATCAAAGTCAAAGTATCACAAGAATCCAATATGGAGGTTATAGGGCCCACTGATGAGGAGTCACATACTAAGATGAGACAGCTATCCAGTGCTACAAGGTTTCCAAATGGTTCTCATACCGATATCAGTTCGTGGTGAATAAAAACCTGAAATCACATGAATTGATAGTTATTTAGCGGGTGGTACACAGACAAAGACTCACTTTACCGTTTATATATCGACTGATAACTGTCCAAGCAACTTTTGGTATATCACTAACAGTTATTTCGTTGATGTGAAACTAATGCAACTCAACAATCGTGCGTGTATTTACGCAGTAGACTATTAGGCACATTTGGTATGAAGAAGATAATGATCTTATCATTTAACTGCTTACATCTCGGGGATTTCAGCATTCATTTCAGTGTGCGGCAGACTGTAAAGTGATTTGAGCTTAATGACCTGAAGGGTCAAAGAAATCGGAGATAAGGAGGATACCTAGCGATGACATCGGATTATGGTTGTACATTACCATGAGCTGATAGAAGTGAGAAAATATGGACCCTTGGATTTTGAGCCAGCGCCTGAACGGTTAGCGTGATATAAAGACCCTGTCACGGTCATAGGTGTGTACTTCTGAGGAGTTCCATACTGGAACGAAACAGCTATTCAGTGCTCCCAGCTTTTCAGTGGTTCTTTAAATGATATCAGTCCGTGATGGAAACTGCCTTGAAACCAGTCAATACCCACAAACCACTAAACTAAATTAATGTCAGGGGATGTATGTACATACAAGCGAATTACAGTGCTCTCATGGAGATTCAAACTCAGTAATGAATGGGCTGTCCAATACATCTCTGATTCATGAGATCTATTTCTTGTTGTTTACTAGTTTGAAATGAAATGATTATTCTGTATATGTACATGGCATGTATGCACTTCCAACTGATGAGTCTCAGACAAGACGAAATACACCTTCGATATCCACTAAAGGTGACTACTTATCAAATAACATAGCAAAGGAAAACCAAGGAAATATTGAAACATCCTTTCAGTGGTGATCCACAGCGACCATAACTGCAAAGTTAATCGATAGTCTTCAGTTGATCCTGGACACTTTGCACTTGACCGATACGTAGATCAGCAGTTGGTGACCGTTTAGAGTACAGATAGCTGAGGTTTCGGTTCTACCATATTCAGAAAAATGAAGATGATTTTGAGTTGCTGAGACAAGTAATTTCATTGCTTACCTTTAACCTACAAGTCACTTCAGTAGAGTGCATGTGTGTGTGTGTGTTGTTTGTATTAAAGACAGAAGAATTTAGTGTAATGAAATTTTGTTCAACCAACTTGAATGTTGCAAAAGTCACGTTTCATGCCTTTTGGTTAACACGCCTACAGAAGCAGTTTTCAACAATGGCGTGTTTGTGTGCGTCATAGTTGTGGTCATCACGACTATAGTTAACTCATAAACTCAACAAATCCATGCTGTGAAACATAATCATTGGCCTGACATCTACTGAGAATCGCAAATCGATAGGGCTGGGTATGCATGTGTGTATATGTGTGCTTACACACATATTTGCATGCCTGTAAACTGATTGGTGCACAACTAGATGAAAATTTATGTGAAACCAATCATTTTGTTGTTTTGGTAAATATTTTTCTATTTGAGAGAATTTATCACAGTAATAAGCTTCAGCAAACTCTGAACTCAAAGCTTGATGAACTGAAACTAAAGTAGACTTGCTTACAGCCGAAACCTTTCATGGCTTTTGATGAAGTTATTTTAAGAAACTATTTCTTCAATACTCGGAATTAATTTCACCAACTTCCTTGTGTAAAAATAAAACTGTGTCTGTTCATATATTCATAGGCGCGTGTTTATGTGTATGTGTTTCTGTTTCTGTGTTGAAAATTGTCTTATAATCGTTGATTTATATAATACTTGGAGCACAGCACTATTGTTCTATACATCCTTTGCATTAAGGTTATATTATTGATATTAAATGTATAGGACGATTATCTAATAATTTAAATTGGAAGTACCCGTCTTTTGTCAATTACTATTAATCCTGTTATTTAAAACCTCACTACTGAACTATGAGCACTCTATGGAATTACTTGACATCCCTTTAATGAGACATTGAAAATTGAAAATTACTTGATAGAAATTAAATTTTCAAAGTAAGTTGTACTCTAATGTATATTTAATTTGTGGAAAATAATGTTATTTTGGCAAGTTTCAACCACTAATGAGTTTGAGACAAAGTTTACCCACTAGTGACACACCGGTATGGTGGTCTATGAACAACTGTTTATTCCTTTTTCAGTCTCATGAAAACTACCAGATAGTTTATCATGTTGCACAATAAGCACCTAAACCGTCCATGTAGCATATAACAATTTGGTTGCTGGGTGTGTAGATTATGCGACCAACCTTATTTACTAACCGGTTCACATAACAGATGGGTTACGGGCAATCAAAGCGAGAGTCAGTACATTCTGAAATAGTGGAGAATATTTGTAGCTCAGGGGATGGTCTTGGTTGTATTGTGTTCTCTGAGCAGGATTGTTTAATCGTGAAGCTTTCATCATCTTTCTAGACGACATCATCAGCACTAACTTCACACTGAGTCATTTAGGTAGTCAGTGAGGAAAATGAGCAGTTATCGATGAAAAAAGGGTTATTGTACATATATATGCCTATTTATTATTATTATTTGTCCCTTGGGTTCCTAGTGGAACGTAGGGATTCAGTAGCACGTCGCCATTACACTCTCTTCTCTACAGTCTTTTCAACCTGGCTTCACGACTGCCCACAAGCTTTCATTTATTCCTCACACGACCTCCTCCATGTCACTCTCAGCTGGGACGCACAACTAGTCGTTTCCCACTTGGGTTCCACTTGACGACCTGGCCTGGTGCGTGGTGTCTCCAATCAGTCGTCTCAGTGTATGTTTAATCCAATCCATCTCCACTTTCTTCCTCTGCATATTTGTTGGGCGATGGCTTCTTGGTTGGTTCGTTACCAGCCAGCCAGCCAGCCAGCCAACCAGAGTTCCTTGTTGCTTATTCTCATTGTTCTGCCCATCTGATCATCTTCAGTCTCAGTATCGAGTGATCGTAGGCGGTGGCTGTTGATGAATGTCTGTAGGTTGTTGGAAATGCTTTTCGTAACTCACCAAGTCTCCCAACCATCACATAGAAGCACTGACTTCGAAATCCGGATGTTGTTCACGCCTTATGCTGAGTGGAGTGCAGTAGATCTCCACACTGGTTTCAGGTTAGTGAAAGCCTGTCTTGCTGTCTTTCCGATCCTGGCTGCCTTGACATCCTTGTCTGTGCCGCCACCACCACCTGTAATTGAAAGGATGCTGCCGTGCCTAGGAAGGTAGGTGGAAGAGGTTTCTGCCGTTCATAGTGATTGATGGTTGCTGTTGTTGTTGGTTGGGTATCTTCATCACTTCTGTCTTCTCTACATTCACTTGAATTCCCGTCTTTACTGTGCAGCCTGTTCTGTCAATTTGTTGGTTTTGGCTGTAGATCCTCTCATTTGTGTGACAAGACATTGGAGATAAATCACCATGGGTGAAATCCAAATCTTCTAGGATCTTTTCATCGGTCCAGTTAGCGCATGCTTCTCTTCTCGCTCATCACAGTTAGTTGCATGATCCTGTCCACCACAATCAGGAATATCATGGGTGATAGTAGGCAGCCTTGTCTTACTTCTGTCTTCACTTCAAAGGCGTCACTGAGCTCTTCATTGTGGATCACTTGGCATGTGGCGTCATCATATAGTTGTTGAATGAAGTTGATAAAGTTTTGTGGTATTCCGTAGTGTTGAATCAGCTGCCTGCCGAATTGCTTCTCGTTCGACGCTGTGGAAGACCTTTACAAAATCGATGAAATTGAGGTAGGTCGTTGACTGCCATTGTATACTCTGTTCTTTGATGATGCGTAGCTCAGCTTTGGAATTTGATCGGCACATGATTTGTTCTTCCTAAAGCGAGCCAGTCAGCCTGTTATGGTCGTAATTTTGAATCCAGAGCATCTTTTAGTCTCTTCTGCATGATGCGGCATAATAATTTGCTTGGGATGGACAACAGCCTGATGCCACGCCAGTTCTTGCAAAGACTTAAGTCCCCCTTCTTTGGAAGTTTGACACGATTGCCCTTCTTCCAATCAACCTTTAGGTACCTTTCCTTTCTTCCTTTTAAACTTTCTGCAATAGTGGTGTGAGCATGTCCGCTGTTGTCTCTGCGTCTGTTTTCAGCGCGGTTGGTGAAATTCCATCCAGTCCTGCCGCTTTCCCGGATTTCAGCAACTTTATGGAGTTCATGACTTCACTTCCGCTTTTATCGGGGTGCTTGTGTTCACTGGTAATTCTGTGGTTGCTGGTGGTATTTCTGGACGAGTTCCAGG